AGAGAGAGAGAGAGAGAGAGAGAGAGAGAGAGAGAGAGAGAGAGAGAGAGAGAGAGAGAGAGAGAGAGAGAGTCAAATCTACCCCGATGGCGGCCCCTCACTCCCCCGCAACATTCCCCCACCCTCTTGGGCCTCTTCTCATTTTTTTCTCTCTCCTTCATTTTTTTGCGAGCAAAGCCGCAACAGGTACCCTTGTGTTTGTTTAGATTTTCTCGCAGGTTATTTTTTTGTTGGTATGTCAGTGAGTGAGAAGTTGAGAACTCCATATTTGCTATGCTGATGACTGGCTGTGATGATGTTCCTGGCTGTGTAAGCAGGCAATTATATTTGGGAAGTCGAGGGATCGTACAGCAGTATTGGGGGGGACTGGGCAGTGGGGGAGTGGAGACCCTCAGAAGTTCCCCCAAATATCAGAGTAACTCTGCTGCAGGAACACAATTTGTCAGGGATATAATGGAGAGCACACTGATTGGAATGAACAGATTTGGACAAAGGTTAGTTTTCCGTTGTTCTGAGTCCCGAGGAAGATTCACATGAAAAGTGCGACCTTTTTTCACATTGCAAAGCGGTCCGTTGAAACCCTCTCTCCATATCCGCAATAGGAACATACAAATGACAGAACAGAAGTTTAGTGTGCTGAAGTGTATTGTAATGAACCCGACTCACGATCAAATCAAAACTGAAGTCGTGAGCTCAAATCAATGATAACAACCGAAATGAGAGATTAATGAACAACAAGACTGTGAAGATGGAGAGCAAGGGATTGGAAATATCTCTTAAAATATAAACAATGTTCAAGTTGCTTCTCCCTCTTCTTGTGCAGAACTTATCTTCTCTCATCAACTCAATGTATCCTTTACTTACTGGCTTGCTTCTCCTCGCTCCTGCACAGCCAGAACGAACACAATGTCACTCTTCAAGCCAATTTCTCTCCAGAGCTGGCGTATCCAAAGCCAGCACAATGATGGAGTTTGATGATGGTGAAGATGATCCATTCTGATGACACTTGTTGATCACATTCTTTTTGATGATGTTGATCACATTCTTTTTGGATGATGAGACAGGAGTTTGATGAGAGGAGAGGACCGTGGACATGGAGAAGGTCAAACTGTGATCTAATTTTAGTGAAAAGCAGGGGTGAGAAGAGCAAAGAGGAGGGGATTAGATCCATCCGTTGCTGCCGCCGCCCTCATCCCTCCACCCTCCATCCAGTCTGCTGCCAGCGCACACCGCCCACTCCTCCGCCCTAGAGAGAGAGAGAGAGAGAGAGAGAGAGAGAGAGAGAGAGAGAGAGAGAGAGAGAGAGAGAGAGAGGGAGAGAGAGCAATGGCCCACTTACAGCCATGAAAGTCATCTTTGGAAAACAACTAAAATAAATGATAAGCTGCATTTGTATGGTGGATTCATGCTGTTATGCATTGAATTTGGGGGAGAGACAGAAAAGGGAGCAGAGGAGAGAGGTGTACAAATTTTAAAAGAACAAAGAAGTGTGGTGGAGGGTTAAGGAGGAGTGATGGAAGGTGGAGGTGTGAGAAGGGAAGTTTATATTATCGCTCGATTCTGTGCTGGGGTGGAGTATCTTGAGGATGGGGGGGCATTAAGACTTGCGAGGGAGGGATTTGGGTCTATGCTGTCACTTGAGCTTTACTGAGAGAAAGGCTGCAAGGGGTGGACATCTGGAGTGCCGAGGGGGACAAGATGTGTGTTCGAGAGACACAAGATGGAAAGAAGAGAGACGGAACTGCAAGGTAGGAGGAGAGAGGAGGGAAGGCAGGGAGGTAATGTTCTTGATTGTTCTTTGTATAGAAAGAGGGAGGGAGTTGCCAAGGGGGAGAGATGTTGGGGAGGGGCCGGGGCATGATGTGCAGTCGATGTTTTGAGAGGGATGGAGATCTGAAGTCAAGGAGAGATGCCTCGTATAAGGGAGGAGTGGGGCTTGTCGTGTCAACAAACTTATGGGGGAGGGAATGGAAGAGTTGGCAAGAGAGGCCGAGCAGGAGGCGGGGGGGTAGGGGGGGAGGGGAAGGTCATTATGTTAGAAGAATTGCAGTTTTTGTAATTGCATGGTTGCTATGTCTGTGAAAGAGTTCTTTTACAGCACAAAATGAAATAAAAGAATTTGGTCAGGTAATGTGTGTGCAGATGATCAACCACACAACAGGTAATTTGCAATCAAACTCGCATGTGCTCTTACCCACGTGTCTACGCTCCTTCGAAAATATCTTTTTTTTGGGCGAAGCCACAACATGTCATCTTGGGTTGCCTTTGTATGCCTTTAAATTCCCGCTAATGAGGCACTCGCCCATGCACAAACAGAGAGGACACAGAGATTAGGTGGAGAGAACACGTGCATCGTGGAGTGCTGCACAGCACACCAGGAAATAACGCCGCAAAGAGATGGGGTGGAGGCAAAGTATGTAATGGAGAAGAACAGACTGGGTGGCAGAGGGGGGAGAGAGAGAGAGAGAGAGAGAGAGAGAGAGAGAGAGAGAGAGAGAGAGAGAGAGAGAGAGAGAGAGAGAGAGAGNGAGAGAGAGAGAGAGAGAGAGAGAGAGAGAGAGAGAGAGAGAGAGAGAGAGAGAGAGAGAGTGTGTTACATGCTGCGCCTGCACACGCAGGCCATTTTCCAGGCCCTGCGCCCTTCAGCCAAAAAGCCTAGAATTCAGCCTGAAAACAGGGGCCTACAGTCCCTGTGTCGTTTCAAACTAAAAATGGCAAGAGCCTTTTTAGCCTGAAACGAAGGGCTATTTTCGGTCGTTCACCAGAACGACCGGCCCTGAAACTCAGGCACCGAACCAGGGTTTCGGGAACAGGCTATTCGTAGCCTGTATCCACGCCAGCCTCAGCAGATGCTGCAGCGCCAGCCCCTGGCACACTTCGGCATTGGCAAGAGCAGCCTCCTCGGCCTGGCTGGCCCTTCAGGCAGTCAGGAGGCTGGCCGTGGATTGGCAAGAGCAGCCTCCTCGGCCTGGTTGGCCCTTCAGGCAGTCAGGAGGCAGGCCGTGGAAGTATATAGGTACCCCCCCAGGCACTTCAGGATTCATTCAGGAGGCAGTAGTCTTCAGGATTCGGGAGCAGCACTCTGGAGGGCTGCAGAGTAGTAGTAGCGTTAGCTTGTAGTCTTCAGCGCTGGGCGCAGTAGGTAGCTGTAGTCTCCAGCGCTGGGCGCCATAGCTAGGATAGCACTAGCGAGAGAGAGAGATTGGGTGGAGCGCCGTTGCTCCAGCTTCGTCTTCGAGGTACCTGCAGCACAGCGCCAACATCACAGGTCAGTATCTGGCTCGTAGCAGTGAGAGAGAGTTCTTCTTCTTCCTCTTCTCAGTCCACCATCTCCTTCTCCCCCTCTCATCATCTGGCTTCACTGCATCTGCAGACTACGAGAGAAGAGAGACAGAGCTTGGTGACATCGGATCCAGACTCGGCATTTTGGACTTCAGACATGACAACGAGGGATTATTTGGGATTGGTGACAAAGACTTGGTGTTGACGACATTCCCACATCTCTCCCTCCTTTCATCTGATTCCTTCCTCTTCGTCTGTGTATGTCTGGACCTGGCGCTTCCTTCCTGTGTACAGCGCCAGGCTCCTTCACACCTGGTGATGGATACGATGTATGTTTGGTCTGCGTTCAAACATTGATTGGGCTAGTTATTAGTATCCTAGTATTCTGCTTCGCTATTTGATACTACGTGAATGAGGTCAGTCCCGGTCAGGTCAGGTTTTGTATTTAAGTCTTCCCTGCGCTATTCAGCACCATGTTGTATGTATGAGAATGCACATTGCTTGTTGAGATTCTACTCGCACCGCATTGTCCATTCAGTCCTTTTCATCACATTGCAGATCCTCGGTTATTATGTACATTGCATATCTGTGCATGTAACACACACAGAGAGAGAGAGAGAGAGAGAGAGAGAGAGAGAGAGAGAGAGATTATTTTGGGGGATACCAAAAATAGGACGACAGGGAAGAGGAAGCAATCACAAAGGATACTGTGTGGTGTACAGAGGTGGAGGAGGAGGAGGAGAAGGGAGGAGAGTGGGAGCCAGAAGGGAGAGGAGGAGGACAAGCATTGGGAAGGCTGAAGTTTGTCTTCTCTTCTGTTTGGGATCTAAACTTTATATGTATTTATTTTCTCTTTAGTTCTTGTTTTGCGTGAGAAAGCAGGGTTACCCTTAGTTCCTTTTTGCAGTTGTGGAACATACATTTAAATGATTTAACACGTTTATCATTTTTTTTTGGGTGTAATCCTCTCTTTTGTGTGTTAAGCTGCAACGGGTGATCTGGTATGGAATAATGATGCCAAAATGAAAGTGAATGGAAAACAATCAGGGAATGACTGTCAAATCAATGGTGGCAAACTCTCTCTACCACCTGCATTTGTCCACAGTGCAAAATTATTTCCTTGGTTATGAGAAAGGCTCCAACAACCTGGATTGTTTTATTGAAATAAAGTGTCCACTGTTTCTTCTGACAGTTGAAAGTATTAAATCAAATCACTGGACACTTGGATTGTTGTTTGTTTTGTTCGCAGGCTCCAGGCCTTTTTTGTTGCGCCAACGACAGGGAGTTACGTCTTCTACATTGCTGCCTATGAAATGGGGTTTGTATTTGACTTGTGTTTCTCAAAATACTCCCTATGGTGACTCTAAATCTATTAACGGATAATCACATCAGTTATTGAATTATAGTGTGTTAACTGGAAGATTCATTCAAGACTGATGCCATTAACATTCATGGTTATTTTTGACAGGGCATAATGGCTATATAGTATATACTATATACTATATAGTATATACTGTACAGGCATTGGCACCACGCCATGCAGTGGCTAGAATGGAATTCACAATCATCAATGCGCAGCCGCTCAAGTGCTCAGAGAACTGTAGACATTGCAGTCACCAAGTTACAAACCAAGCATGTCCTCTTGTCAAGCATTCAACAAGAAGGACTTATGGTATTCCATTCCAGTCTTCTTGTCTGAAGTCTGGAGTGAGAGAGCAGTACAGTACTGCTGCTACTATTGCAAGCTTTTCTTTTCTTCTTGTTCTCTCTTGTGTAAATTGTTGCAATTTAGAAAGATATTTTTCAACTACTATTAACTTCTGCATTATCTCACCACATCCTCAGACGTGTCTTGCACTGGCAAATGCCTGTCATTTGGGGTGGAAGAAGCCACCAGAGTGCACATGTTGCATTACTGTTGATTTTGTAAAATGTTGAGATTTTTCCAAACTTCAATCAATTTGAGCATTCATCACTCATATAAACTTGATTGGAAAAAATGCACGCTTGATAGGAAACTCCACACGAAACTGGAATCGGTGGTTCACACAATAACAGTTGAAGACAATGAGAAACAAGTTGAGGAATGTTGAGATTTTACGAAACTTCAATAAATTCCAGCAGGATTGGAAACTTCACACAGAACAGAATGTTCACTCCAGAAAAAAAAACAAGCATGTGCACACACACAACTGAGAGCGACTAGATACTGTCAATTCTCAGCCAGGTTGAGCCAACCACTCGAGTCCCAAAATCCTTGCACAGGATTACACCAGCGGCCACGGTTGTCTTGAACCACCAATTCCAGTACCGTCATTCTTCCAGGGCCGTCCCGAACCCTGTCGGCCACTATCCTCTTCCTCGACATCGAAAAAGCATACAACCAAGTTAAGTGGGATTTCTTACATGACTGAGCGGAGAAAAGGAGAGTAGGACCAGGTTTCAGGAAGTTGGTCAGGACCATGCACAATCAGGCATCCGACAGGGTTCAGATCAACAGGGCACCATTAGACACTCACCCCATCTTGCGGTCCCTACCCCAAGGTAACCCACAAGCCCCGGCCATGTACCTGCTCATGATGGAAGCCATTGCATCCTTCCTAAGAGAACCCCCTCCGTTGACCAACTGTCGACTCTCAACAACCATCCCTAGCACAACTTTCCTCCACCCATTGGCCTGGTGTTAGCATCTAACTCTTGTTTCTGGGCTTCTGTTATAGCAATTCAGGCTTTCTGATGCCCGCATTTCAGATGAAGGTAAATTGGTCTAAAACGGAAGGCTGGTGGCTAGCATAAGAGACGTCTTCCGAAGCATTAGGCTTCCCCTCACAAATATCCTGGTCTACGGAGGAACAAGCCCTTTGGTACCTGGGAGTCATGGTCAATAGGGAAGGGACCTGGGCTGGAATGGGACAAAACCTGATAGCAAAAGCAATCTCGCACCTGACATTGTGTTAAAAAAGCGCAGGCCTCTATCCTAGGCAAAGCTGTAATCATCAACATCAGTTTTCTCAAGCTTAGTGTATCTGGCTTCTATATGGTTACCTTGCAGATGAAGCTTTGAAAGCCCTGAAAGCATGTGTCAGATGTTTCCTATGGACAGGTGATGGAGACAGGCAAATGTGTATATTGAAAGTAGCCTGGGCATACATCACCAGGAAGCCCGGAGAGGGAGGGCTTAACTTAGTTGATCCTAAATAGTAGACTACATTCCTACAGATGAAGTTGGTGGTAAAACTGTTACTTCACCTTCCATAGGCACGAATGGCACTTGACAGCATAAGACAGTTGACCCCCATTCCCCCCCCCCCACCACCACAATATGGAAGGGACATTCTGGGTCAATAGACAGGTGACCAAAGAATGGTCGGTAAGAACAGGAAGAACCAAAAGGAACAGACAAACCACAAGTAACCCAAGCTGAGCAAGCTCCCTAAAACCCGCTCCTTATCGGGTCCCAGTTCTGTTGGGTTGGTGTAAACTACTCTGTAATAAACAAGGCGAACCACGAAAAAAAGAACTACTCTGGCTGCCTTTGTTCTGCAATCCCTGGATCACAAATAAAGGATGAGCCATTGAGCCCAACAAATATAAGAAACCTAAAGTGCATCCAACCACTCCAGTGATAGTGTAGTTGACAGGTCTGCATAGTAAGATTTGCTGGAGAGGCCACCTTAGAGGTTTTAGATGGACAAGAAGAGCAGAATACAGTTGCGTACACCCATGACTTGCATTAAGTTTGATATTCCATTATCCTTAATCAGAGACCTTACTGTGTGTCACATCAGCACTGGTCACATCGCTTAGATAGCGCCTGTGCTGCAATAAGACTGGTCTTCTTCCTTATTTCGCATGCATGCAAACAGATTACAATCCACACTGGCGCCAGGCGCCCACACAAAGCTCAGAGATATTAAGGCCGAGAACACAGTTCAGATGCAAACTTGCTTCGAAGTGGCTATGGCACCTGAGCGCCTACACATCACCCTTCCGACCTTGTATTCACAGCAACTGTTCACACGCACTCTACTCCGGATCTCCCTGGATGTCCCACGCACTCTCCCTCTACACGATGCACACACACACACACGCATGCGCTACTAACTAACGTTAACTATGACAGCTATGGCCATCTTCTACCAAGTAACTACAAGCAGCGATGGCCGCTCTATCTCCCTCGCAGCCCACTTCGACTCCGGGCATCTGCAGACCACCTCGCACTAGATGCTCAGGCAGCGCTTCCGCATGGCCCGCGCAGAATGAATGAATGGCTGGGCGCTGCCTCTTGATTATTCTTCTGTTGGTCGCTGGTCTGCTCCTTTCCACCGGGCCCAGGGTGCACACAGTCCCACATGGTTCTTGCTGACTGGACAAAGTGAGACTGGGACTGGGTACCGCTGACTAAGCATGGTTGGACTATTAACTTGTCCACTTGCCTCTGGTCTAATGTGAGCAACGCTCGAAAGGCCAGTTCCGGTCCTTCCGGAAGTCTGTGGACTTGGCCTTTCGGGACTGTAGCAGCTACGACTTTGACCTTTCAGAATTGCGACAACTACGACCCCTACACAGCTATGACCCCTACTCGACAGACCTACGGCTCAAAACCCGACAGCTACACAGACCTACGACAGAACAATCAGCTACCAAGACACAGGTCACGGGTTCAAACACACAGGGGTCGACTTGATACTGTACACAGGTGCTCTCGGGGTCTAGGGATCGAGCCCTGGGATCTGCATCCACTACTGCAAAGGTGAAAACCGTTCCAGTGCAGGTAATGACACCTTAAACAAAAGCTTGGTAGAGAGAACTGCATCACTATGTAGTATATAGTGCACTCATCGTCTATGCATCACCTTCCTCATTTGACCAAGGGTAAGCAGCTGAACGAAACCATTGTTGCTGTAAGAATTAGTAGAACAGTAAAAGCATATTCACAGAGTCAAACAGGTCACAGTCTACAACTTTTTAAATAAAGAGCAGACATGTTGATATCTGACTGGAAAAAAAAAAAAAAAGAATCGATCCACTCTCAATCAGTCTGCTCTCCCATTTCTCTGTGAGTGATCTGACTTGGCCTCTCATGGGGATGGAGCTGCTGTGGGAGGTATCAGCTCCACTCTCAATGGCCTGACAAAGTCTTAAATTCAGATTGATTGGTCAATTGTCACATAGTCCCTCAATCGCAATTGTGATGGATCTTTTTGGTGCAGTGAGCTTTGGATAACAGACATCGAAGCAGGTGGCACTCCACGGATGGTGAGATGTGGCACCTACTCTTCTTCTCTCGCTTGTCCTCCTGCTTCTCCTCTTGTTTCCTCCTGCTCCTCCTCGCCCCCAACACAGGAAAATGGGATCTGGAAGTTCCAACCCTCCGCATCCTGTCTGCGTGTTGCAATCTCAGAAACTGCAGACACTTTCGAGAAACCCTGACCCATAGACACACACCAATCTGTTTTCCTCAAACAATTAGGCAGGTACGATCAGGATTGTCAAAACCTGTTATCATTGACACACTCTGCTTTTGGTCAGCAAATGTAGCAGCCTCCTTTTTTCCATGACTCCTTTTCCGTTTTTTTTTCATTTCTTTGAAGTAATTTGGGATTATTTGGACCATTTCTCAATTCGTGTGCATATACGCAGCGCCCATGACAGTCTTTTCTGTATGGTTTCAATTTTAAGAGACGTCCCGAGGGACTTTTGCCCAATCGTATGAATTTCTTTGACATGGAATGTCCTAGGAGGGAACCTGTTTGGTCCTTTAGAAGTTGGAACACTTGGGAGTACCGTTTCACTTCCATCGGCCTGTGTTTTGGCCAAGGTCATGGCATCATTGATTAGGCACTGGCTGTATAGCTATATGTTGTCACATGTCATATATGTTCACTCTTTTTCTTCTCATTTTTGTTTGCTACTAGAGTGGCTACGTGTGACTCTGATTCTATCGAAGCATGGGCAGAGGCCTCAGGCACACAACCCCTAAAAGTATCGACTTCATGCATCCTTTCTCAAAGAAGAGGTGCGACTATGGTAAGGGAGATGAAGCTGGCGTGATGTAAACACCCAATCTCATGCAGCGCTCCGGGGGGCTGATGCAGTTTAGTTTCACGCTGAGGATCTCAGGGTTCTACATTGCAAAAACCTGATGCATCCTTCTTCAAGGAAGTTGAAACCAGACTCCAACTTTGACATAAAAATGAATTTTAATGCAAATGTTACTATTCTGGCCAATTTCGAAGTATACATACATCAGAAAGTACAATGCCGTCCAATTGCAAAAAGAAATGAATGAACTTGAGAGGAGAGAAGAGGGAAAGAAGAAGAAGTAAGAAAGAAGAAGAAGATGATGTACTCCAGCATAGACCAATGACAAAGCTCTTCCTCTTCGCCAACCAACCTCCTCCTCCTTATCTTCTCCCCTCTTATTCGAACAAGAAATAACAATAATAATGTTGAATGGCTGAACCAGAATCAATGTCCGAATCCCACTTCTACTGCAGGCACAACATGAGGTCACCATAGCCATGGCCACCCTTCTCCTTCCACGTCATTGCAGGCCGAGGCTATGGCGGACTACTGAGGCTTCAGCCTCCTGTCCAAAGGACAACCCAAAGCAGCTATGCCGCTGCCGCTTCAAGCAGCTATGCCGCTGCTCACTGAACCGCCATGCCTGACTCTACCCCGAGCTTCCTTGGTGCGGCACTACCCCAACGGGGGCCTTCCAGATGCAGCACCTAACAAGGTGATGAAGATGGTGTCCATTATAGCCAGGTAGGTACCTCGCCACTCTCCCCCTTGGTCCCCTTCTCCCTCCTCCTCCTACCGGCCGAGCTCCAGCATAGCCGAGGTGGAAGCTCCCGGCTTCTTCCTCTCAGCAGCGCTGTAGCAGCCAGCGCTCTTCCAACCAGCGCTCCAACAGCGTGACGCCCAACTCGCACACTGAAGAATGAGGCCGAGCTCTTGCCTCGGCCTCTTGATATAGCGGCCTGCTTGCCTCCTGGGCGGTGACTTCCAGACCGCTCGGCCTCCCAAGCAACCGGTACCTCCTCCCTTTTGGAGGGAAACGTCATTGCAGACTCTGATATTGCCCGTACAGGCTCTAGACTTCAGACTGGATGGACTGGTACCGGCCTAGACCTAGCGTACCGCTACTGGGCCTCTAAAAATGCCAACTTTGTCTTCTTCTGCTCGGCCTCGAGTACCCGGCACATCTACTGCTGCTGGGTGCGGTACCAGCCTACCCGCTACTTGAGTGTTTTTCCGTTGCTCTAAACACCGCGGGCCCCTGGCTCCGCTACTTGAGTGTTTTCCCTGCTGTAACCCTCAATGCCACGGCCACAGGTAAGTACCGGCCCTACGGGCCTACCAAACAAGCAAGTACCCTTGCGGGTCACACACACACTCATGCCAACAAGCACTCAGACAGGCACGCAAGTCAACAGGCACGCACACATACAGACTTAGGAAACACAGCAGAGTGCGGGAATCTCAGCACGGCATCCATTCCATTGACAGAACTTCAGAAATCAGCAGTGTTCTCAGTCTGTGTTATGGCAGGTCATTACATAAAGGAATTTTACTGCATATGCAGTGTCCAAGAGATTCAAATCGTTGTCGTTCCCTTAGCAAATTTCCCCTTCAATCAAATCTGCATGTGTATATTGAAAAGGAGTCGATCCAGCTGCAGGGTCTCCTACCTTGTTACAACTTCATCCCAGCCACTGATTCTACCATGATCGTCTCTACAATGAACGATGCAAAAAACATGCTCGAGTGCATAATGCATCAAAGTAATTGGTTTATCACAGAGATGATTATGGGCAGAAGAAATTCCCATGATGTGATGGCCTGTGTTAGTTCTGGACTCCTCTTGGGTGCCATTCTCTGGAGCAATTTCCTTCGTTTGATCGTCTGCAATTCCGCAAGGTTTGTTGTCATCGACAAGAAAATTTAGGCAATGAGAAACTCCTCGGCAAATGCTTTTGCAGAAGTCCATTCTGAAAAATCTGAACTCTTTTTATCAGCGTTTTTTTCTATAGACTAGTATGATTGTGGAGGGGAATAGCAGAGCTACCTTTCACGGCCTCGGGGGCAGAGACATCAGCGGAACTCTCAGCAGCAAGTGTGTCAACAGCCTTGACCTCTAGAATCATCACAAAAGGAGAGCAGCAGCTCCAAACAGAGTTGCAGCAGGAGGACAGTGGAAAGTGGGAGTCATCACTAGTCAAGAATCTGCTTCGGTTCCCCACCATCTCAACCTAAATCAAAGAAACACTATAAATCCGGCCCCAAAACAGAAAGCCTGCAAACTTCGGCAGACCCAAAACAAGGGTAGACGTGGATACAAGGTCATGGAATGTCCATGGATTGACAATTTAGCATCAATCTTGGCATGCTTAGCAAAATGGTTCAGCTTTACGGCAATGATGGACTGCTTTGACGATAAATCTTGGCAGGTATAGCAGTCTATCATTGCTGCAGGCCCAAAACAAGGGGAGAAGTGAAAACATAGGAGAACCCAATATAAATCCGGGCCCAAAACAGCAACCCTGCAAACTGTGGCAGGCCCAACACAAGGGGAGAAGTGAACACATAGGAGAGTGGCAGGAAACTCTTAGAAGCCTAAGGCAGGTATAGCATTCCATTTGGCCACCCACACCCTACTGTGCATCAGCAGAAGTCCTGACATTAATAATTAGTGAATCAGAAGCAGCACAATTAATAGACACATGATTTAACAGATAGCATAATTACGGATGAAGAGGAAGGACCAAGAGGGAACTGGTTAAGATCAGCTAGGAGGGCCAAAATAATAGTTTCAGCCGCAGTTTTACAGATCAGGAAAACTCCAACCTTGCAGGCAAGGCAGGCAAGGAGTCACTGAGCAAAAATTCTAACTATAAAAGGGATTACCTGACAGTCAACTCCAGCGGACTGAAAGGAATGGGTCAGGCAATTGGACTACTTCGTCAGACCAGAGTTGACTTGGACAGATTATAAAATAGAGTACAAAACACGAAAGTCAAGTTATGATCTGAGAGTTAACCATTTCAACAGCAAGCAATCAATGCTGCCCAGGTCATCATTAGCCTTAGCAGTCGGAAGTCCTTAAAAACAGGGGTGGAGCAGTGGTAAATCTTCCCAATTGGGTGCCGCTGTCTCGGGATCTCTTGACCATAACGGGAAGAAGTGTGAGTGAGGAAATCTGACGTAGGGGATGCTGGCTGCAATTTCCGGCTTTATTAATACAAAATTACTTTTCTCAGTTTTCTGCAATAACCCATACCATATGTCTCGTGGAAAGACTGAGGGCCAACTCGGCCGCCCTCAGCCCAGGCCGAAATGGGGGCAAAAAGGACCCAAACAAAAACTCAGAGCCTGGACGTGTGACAGTCAACTGTCGTGACCCCAACAGTCAAAGTCCAAAGGTACCTAGCCCAGGCCACTGGTCAAGCACACACACTTGTTTGCATGCAGGTACCCAGACAGCATCAGGTCCAAGGGAGAAGTCTGCAACTGTACAATCCGGGCCCTCAGCTGTGAGTCAATCTGGACGACTGTGGGAAACGCACCCGAGGCCAGACAGCCTCGACAACTGTTACTTAAGGCTGGCCACGAGGGAGTCAAGCATTCGGTCTTGCTATGCTGCTTTGACGCTGGCTCGACCTTGACTAGATGCTGGCATTATGCTGGCTCGACGCTGGCAAGACGCTGGCTATGCACTGGCGATGCGGACGCCAGCAGGAGGTGGAGGCAGCATGCTAGCGCTTTCTGCATTGTGCGCCAGGCTTGCTGAGGTGGCATGCTGATGTGGTGCTACCTCTGGTCTACATTGCATGCTGATGTGGCGCTACCTCTGGTCTACATTGCATGCTGATGTGGCGCTACCTCTGGTCTACATTGCATGCTGACATGGCACTACCTCTGCTCTACATTGGATGCTGATGTCACATTACCTCTGGTCTACATTGCATGCTGACATGGCGCTACCTCTGGTCTACATTGCATGCTGATGTGGTGTTACCTCTGGTCTACATTGCATGCTGAAGTGGCGTTGCCTCTGGTTTATAGCGCATGCTGATGTGGCGCTGCCACTGGTCTCCATTGCTGATGTGGCATATGCCACCTGTCTCCACTGTCGGCGTGGCATTGTCCACGCTGTCTACATGAGGTGACTGGTTGCGAGGAGGAGGAAGATCGGGATCTGTGGATGAAGGAGGTCGGGTACTGACCTGAGGTTGACGTCGTCACTGGAATCTGCTATGTCTTCATGGTCTTCACGAGATGAAGTGCCACGTGGCACTATTGTGTGTGCTCAGGAATATACTTATTATCATTGTTGACGTGGAGAGGGAAGAAGCCCGGAGAAGAAGAGGGGTCTGAAGGGATTATTACTGTGTGATCTTTTATCTTCTCCTTTGTCTATTCCCCCTCCACTCTCTTCGTGTGATGATAATGAGATACTGTTTGAGATATCACTTCACGCTTTGGAGACTTTGGTGCAGA